CGAAGAAGAGGTTTTTAACACTAAATATTATATGTTTATATCTCTTAAGTTTTATATACTCATAACCCTTTGTGGTGATGTTGTATCAAATTATTTTGAATGGAGTCACCACTGTTAATCTATTTAGGCAGCAAGGAACGTTAGTTAACAACAGAGTTTGAGTAGGTGGGTTTTATGAGAACTCTAGAACAGGCAATATCTCCCATGTCCCCACTGGTTTTTGTGCCACCTCTTGAGCTGTAACATCAGCCAGGTTTTTGTTTTGTTTTGTTTTGTTTTTCTTTGAGGTCTGCCCACAGTAGGCAGCATTTATCTCTCAAGCTGTAAAGTTATCTTGTTTTTAACTTTATCTCTCTGAGGGCCTAGCCCTGTCTGACTGCCTATAATATTTTTAATTTAACTCAGCTGCCTGCAAACCTTTTTAACTTTTGTAGCTTGTGTCAGATATCTGAGGTCCACTAAGTAAGGTATATCTTTTTGGTTTTTGCAGGTAGCCCTGCCCAAGGAACACGAATATAGCTTTCCTCATAATGAGGCAGAAAACCCAGAGAAGGCACAGATCACCTGGGCTCTATCAGGTGGACAGTTAGATTAGGCTTTAATATGTGTTTTTATAGAGAAAATCTGGTGGATCCCAGCAAAAGGAATCATAATCTAGCATATTTGTTAACAGATTTTTACCTGCATGATTACCTGGGTTTTGGTATCTTCTAGGACAGAACAAATTACAGCATATATAATCAGCACATATATAATATAGCACAAGCATTTGAGCTAACAGGTAAATGTATAAACTTTGAGGCTAGTAATCATAATCCACTAGCTGTTAGACCCCTTTATTTATGGAGTCCGACAGTTTGTTATAAATCTCTCTAGCTATACTTATAATTATCTCTAAATTTTAAGAACATATGGAAAAACAGATTAATATCTTATTTTTACTGTCGATGCTTTTAAGTAATTTAAGTACAGTTTGGCATATTTGTCTAGTTACACTTGTTTTTACTATCAGCATGAAATACCATCGTTACATCAGAAATCAACCAGGCTAACTTAATAAACTTATCACAAAATACACAGTATTCAGTCAGATTAAACCAATGTCTCATTCAGTTTTGGATATGGCCCCTACTGTAATCAAGGGGCATTATAGAAGGATTTATCTTTTTAATACTGGCTCTGAATTTTATGTTTTAAAGACAAGCCCTGGCTCTATTAATAGGCCCAAAGCTATTTGACACTGTGCAGCCAGTGTCTCTAGAACTTTTTTACATTGACAGGATTTTATCTGTATATGAACAATATATCTTAATTACAGCTTAAAACAAGATGACGATGACTGGAATAAAGCTCAGGGTTGGAGAAAGACAAAGAGACCTGTGCCAATATCCAGCAACAGGCTGGGCTTTTTCCTTTAGTTGTGATTACTCAGGGCTCCTCCATGGAGATGACAGGTAGAGGTAACAGTCCGGCCAGAGGGAGGAAGCAGGCCCAGCGCCCTTCAGTCCTACTGGACCATCTGTGAAGCTGAGTCTGAGCTCTGGGGCCTCCGCCTCAGGGTGCTGTCTCACTTCTAGTGGCTGTCTTGGCAGTCAGGGCATGGCTTGTGGGCCTCTTAAGGCAGTTCCTCTTACAGTGAGTGGCCTGGCTTCTGACAGCAGCAGCAGGTGAATCTCATCATCGTTGAGCTCTTCTTGGAGCCCAGAGAATCAGACTTAGGGTCTGTTTTCAGGCCACAACA